GTCCGCCATGCCACGTTTACCCAACAGAAGACTATGCCTCAGTTGCGCGCGCCTGGACTTCTCGCTGGCCTGGCCGCCCATCCTAGTTCATTGACTTCCTTGGGTATGTGCGTCTCCCACAGCTGAGATTTACACCGTCGCCCATAAGCTGTGATCTCTGCTTGCTCCGATGGCCTAACCGTCGAGCATGTGTTCCGATTACCTCGCCGCCCGACTCCAGGGGCATCGTTGCATGGGCGGGTGGGTATCCATGAGCAATCTTCGCTTACACACACACACACCCTTCTAGCCGCTGGCGACGCTGCTGGCGACGCGCCTGGGGTTGAAAGAAAACGCATCTCCATCGGTTGTTTCTTTCTCCCTCAAATCATATCCGCCCCATCCTGCGCGATCTCCTAGCGCCCGTACTCAAGCTCCCTTCCACTTGCCGCGCACTTCTCGGACATCGCACTGCGCGGGTGCTGCCGTCGCTCTCGCGTTCCTCATGAGCGGATGCGATCGCGCTCGACGAATCTTCGCGCCCTGAAGCGTCGGGGTCGGGCTGCTGGGATAAACCGTTCAAGTGCGTCACCTCAGCGACGTTCCACATCTTCCGCGCCCCGATGTCCCGGGGGCTCGCGCGGCTTAGCGGCGCTCCGCGAGGTGCGCCGGCGATGAGTTCTTCATCATTCCCAGCAGCGCGCCGCTTCCCCATCTACTTTGGGATGCCCCCCCCAAACTTTCTCGCGCAGACTTGAGAGGTGCATCTCCGAAAATCCGCAGCTGCTCGCAACGCTTGCGCCCTCTGCATCGCTCGCGCACGGGGGCCGCGCCAGCTCTCGACGCGGACTCGTTCAGCGCCGATGGTGCGCGTGACGCCAGCCAGGGAATCAAATCGTGATTCACAGAAATAAGATTTGCACATGCTGTCTTGCGCGCTCTTCAAGGTTCTGATTTGTCCTGGCACCGCTCAAGTAGCCCCCCCCCCCCGACGTCGCCATTGGCTCTCGGCTCTCCAATGGGGCGACCCTCGACCCCCGCGCGTACATCGCGCGCGCCCTCGGCAGCCCCCCGAAGCGATGCCATCGCGGGCCCGCCGTCTCTTCTGAGGATGACGCCCGCGCGCCCAGCATGCGCAATCAGATGTGCAATCGCTTTGGGAGCATGCGGGTCGGGCCCATGCTTGAGCACATTTTTGCTCCGAGCCAACTGGGCGTCTCTGCAATGCGTCGCAGGGGCGGCGCATCCGTCGACCTCTCCCTTCGGCCGCGCACCGTCCACGGGGGCGATGGGCAACCCGGCGCGACGCCCCCCAACTTTCCTGGATGGGGCCCTTCTAAGGAAACCTCCTCCCCGACGCAGCGGGGGCGCCGACTTCGAGGAGAAAAACATGTCGCGCGTCAAATTGGAACTCCCCCCCGGTCGGGTCTCGGGCAGCAGCGCGCCCGCCGAGTCGCCTCAGCCGCCCCCCCGCCGCCCCCGCCCCCCCGCCTCGCGCGCGCGCGCCGCGCTGCGTGCATCTTCTACTTCGCCGAGAACGCCGCGCCCGCCCTTGCCATCCCCCTCATCGCCCACTTTGAAGAGGGCGACGGGCTTCGGCGGATTCAACGATAGAGGCCCTCTGCGCGGGCCCCCCACCTCGGAGGCCCTCCTCGCCCGCGACTCCATCCGCTGCCACTTGCGAGGCCCTGGCTCCGCGACCCCGCTGGCGCGCTGGAGCGCCCGCCCTCGTTCGCGGACCGCCGCTCGTTGCCCGGGCGCCATGCGCCCCGTTAAACTGCAATGGCGTCTCAACGCATTGCGATCGAGCGCGCTTCGATTTCCCGCCACGACCATTCCCTGGGCAGAGCCACGTGCCCTTTCTTTTTTATAATAAAAAAACGCCCGCAACTTGCATGGGCAGATGTCTCCTCGCTCGGCGCGCTGACCAGCCACCTCGAGCACCGTGGCCGTCTGTCCGTAGTTTCTGATAATCGCCCCATTGGCTGCGCTGCCATGCTCGCTTGCTCGCGCCGCCTCTGCGGGCGCCGCTGAGAAGCGACTCGCCGTGCCCAGGGGCCAATCCCGCCTTCGGGGCTCTCGACGCTGCGCGGGCCCGAATCCCGAGTGACAGCCGCTGTCTCGCGCGCTCCTGGAGACCCGTTCGCGGGCGCGACGCCAGCGTCATGGGCGCCGCCAGGAGCTCCCACTAGCCGCTCTTCAGCATGCGTTTGCTGCCGGTCCCCATCCACTTGCAAGACCCCGCCGACCCTGGACTGCCAGCCGCACCCGTTGCCGCAGCCTATGTAACGCGAGCCCTTTTTTTCCATAGTCTTGAACTCGCCCTGGCTTTATCATTCCAGTGGTTGCCTATATGGCCTGGCACTGCTGAATCCACCCCTCGGACCCTGGTAGATCGCAGGGTGCGTCCGCCCCGTGGCATCTTAGCATTGGCTGCGCCAGGGAGATGATTTGCGCCCCAGCCTGTTCTCCGCGATGTTCTATATCAGGTCGCTTCTCCCCGTGCTGCTCTATGTCATTTTTCCAACGCGCTGAGCAGCGACGCGCCCCTGTTTGCTGCGCGCGCAAGATGCCCCATCACTCGCGCGAAATCAGTCCCGCTCGCTTTTCCATTCGAGGCATCGTCCGCGCGTCATCCTTACTCCTGTGCGTCCGCCTTCTCCTTTGCGATGATTGCCTTTCGCTTTCCAACGAGTCGCGGATGTGTGCCCGAAGTAACCACGCTTGTCACATGCGGGTCCCTTTCCTCCTTTCCCCTTGCCTCTGTCACCGGCGCCCGAGCCTTCACCCCCTTTCAGCCTCCTCATCTTTTCTCCAAACAACATCATCTGCCCACCATTACCCGCATTCGTGGATATACCCGTCTATGTCCCAACCCTCGCGGGCACAACAATTTCTGACTTGCTCATCGCTGGCGCCGCCCACTCCCCCGATGCCCATGGCGTCGCGGTTCCGGGCGTCGCCGTCGAACCTTTTTCTTGCGTGCCCAATCGTCGCACTTAACATGCAATTTCTGGTAGGTTTCAAGCGCGGGTGAGTCTGCGGTCTCGAAGCACTCCGGGTGCCAACCCTCGCGTCATCATGGTCCTCAACACGGTGATTCTGACAAGTGGATTAAACGACTATGCTGGAACTTGTTTTCCCAAGGTCTCTACCACTGCCGTTTACTGTTCTATCTGGGTGGCCACGTCGCCTATGTCCATCGGCTCGTCGGGCCCCATGGCCAAACTCAGTTTGGCAGACAGGGTTACTCCGGTAACTGTGAAATTCCTACTGTGTTATTTTTGATACGCCTGCAGTCTGTCCCCCTCGAAGAGTCCCTGCCGCTTTCCCCTGGTCTCCAATCCATCTAACTTGTCATGAATATGTACCACCTGTCTTCATCAAGCTTGTGTACCATATCTTCCCGTATGTCAGTTATCATGTGCTGTTGTCTCCCTTATGTTTGGCCTGATTGGCCTTTGTGTTTTCCGCTGCCGTTAACCTCCCATTTGGGAGTAACGTTCCGTTTGTCGTCTCACGCTCGCCGCCTAAACTATGTGACGCTTGGCGATAGTGTGGACTGACCTGTGTCAATGCGTTGAACAACCTTACATTCCACTCACAAAACGTAGCGCTGTGCCCCGCGAGCGTCTTGAGCCGCGGCGTGGCCATATGTTCGTTAAACAGATTCTGTCCTTGATCAATACTGCCACAGTTCCGCAGCTGACTCCGCAATCTCGATACCCTGCCCCATCGTTGCGCCCGTTGCGTCTTCCAAAACATGTTCGGCTACCGACCGCACTTGTTTGGCCTCTCCCACTGCGTACATGCTACGATTCACGATGCTTGGTGATCGGAAAATCATGTTTTGTGTCATGAGTCACAGTCCATCGCTCTCCTTCTGTGTGACAGTTCTGGCCTTTGCTGCAATCTGCCTTTTTATGAATCCTTTCATCCCGTCACCACCGGTTCTTAGGGCTACTCACGTAGCTGCAATCGCCTCCATACTAAACTGCTTCGCGTAACTCGTTGAATCTCGCTGGGTTCCAGTTGAACCACTGATCACGATCCTGGGGCGTTCAAAGAGCGGGTCTCGGGGATGTGCGGAAGCCGCCGCTGCTGCCTCCATCGGCTTCGATCCGCTAGCATGCAACGTCCCGAGGAGGACTCACAAGGCGCTGAACCGACTGTCCTCTGCCTGGTCACTTGAGCCAAACGGCGTCGATAACAACATCCGTCTGACCTATACACAAGCACATCCTTCTGACCCTCTCGCAACAAGAGATAATACCACCTCCTGCTCCTCTGGCTCCACCTGCAACTCCTCCTCCTCCTCCTCCTCCTCCTCCTCCTCCTCCTCCTCCTCCTCCTCCTCTTTTTCCTTCCCTCCTTCTCCTCCTCCTCCTCCTCCGCCTCCCCCTCCTCCTCCTTCCCATCCTTTTCCCTCCTCCCTCCCTCCCTCCTTTCCTTTCTCATTCCCTGTCACCTGCATCCTCCTCCTCACTTCCTCGCTCCCTCCGTCCCTCCCTCCCCTCCCGCTTCCCCTCCCCTTCCTCCTCGTCTGCCCTCTTCTCGCCCTCCTCCTCGTCATCCTCGTCCTCCTCGTTCTCCTCCTCCTCCTCCTTCTCCTCCTCAGCCCTCTGGCGTCGTGACTCTTTCACGGTATGGGCCCCACGGAGCTGTGATTCCTGAAGTCTTTAAGCGCGGAGCGTGCCCGGATGGCGCAGGTGGAGGGCCCGGATCAAACAAACACAGACACGCCGTCCCCCGGATGTCGGGGCAGCTCCTGCTCCGTACGTCCTCGTTCGGGTGGGGTGGGGGGGGCCCGTCTCGGGCGGCATCCCTCCCCGTTTCCACCCTCCTCCTCCTCCTCCTCCTCCTCCTCCTCCTCCTCCCTCCTCCTCCTCCTCCTCCGCTCCCTCTCTCCTCCCTCCTCCTCCTCCTCCTCCTCCTCCTCCTCCTCCTCCTCCTCCTCCTCCTCCTCCTCGGGGGGTGGAGGGCATGTCATCGTCTCATGCGGCCCCCCCCCAACCCAGCGCCTCCTTCGAGGAGACCTGCGTCGGGGTCGCGGGCGCGCACGACGGCTGGCGGCTAGAGATCGGCGACTTCGGCGACGTGTTCCCTGGCTGGCTCTTCGAGATCGAAGACCTTCCCCCCCTCGTGTTCGTCCTCGTCCTCGTCGTCGTCCTCTTCCTCCTCCTCCTCCACCTGATGTTGCTTCCCCTGGGGGGGCCGTGTCTGCACCGTCGCGCCCCTACCCGTGTCCAATCCGTGTCGAATCCATGTCGGACTCGTGAAATCCGTGTCGAATTCGTGTCGAATCCACGTCGAACCCTCGCCGAAGTACAAGAAAAGACACCGGGGTTGGGGACAGACAAAGCCCCCCGAAGATGCAACGTAATCCACCCCTTTTTCCCAATAAATCTTCTAGCACTTCAACACTTCCACGGAGGCCTCAAGACTGCCCAAGAGACCCCAGTCCGTGAAGAACTGAACACGAGCCGAGAACGAATTATTATCCTGGCGAAGGACGCAACCATATGCAATTGTGCGTATCGCCATTGTGGGTATCGCCTTCGGTGGATCTTCTTATGGAGCAACGAAGCGTGTCAAAGGTGTGCCGAAATGGAGCGGGGCCACCATGCAGGCGCTGCCACTGCGCCCTGAAGTATATCCCCCCTTATGGGGCCAAGAAGCGTGTGAGAGGTGTGCCGGAAAGGGGAGGGGCCCCCATGCGAACGTCGCCACTGAGGCCTTCCTCGTAGCTCCCGATGGGGCCACGAAACGTGTGAGGTGTGTGTGCCGAAATCGGCGGGGGGACGCATGCGAACGTCGCTATCGGGGCCTTCGGTGGAGCTCCCCATGGGGCCACGAAACGCGTCAGGAGTGCGACGAAATCGGCGAGGGGACGCTTGCGAACGTCGAAGTTACGGCCATCGGTGGAACTCCCTATGTGGTCACGAACCGTATGATGGGTGTGCTAAAATGGGCGGGGAGGGCGCATGCGAACGTCGCCATTGGAGCCTTCGGTGGAGCTCTTGGGGCCACGGAGCGTTGTACTATATATGTGGGATAGACGCATGCGAACGTCGCCATTGGGGCCGTCGGTGGCTGTACAGGGCGGGGCGGACGCATGCGAACGTCGCCACTGGGGCCTTCGGTTGAGCTCCCTATGGGCCCACGAAACGCTGTACTGAGTGGGGCGGGCGCATGCGAACGTCGCCACTGGGGCCTTCGGTGGAGCTCCCCATCGGCCCACGAAGTGCTGCGCTGGGCGGGGCGGACACATGCGAACGTCGCCAATGAGGCCCTCGGTGGAACTCCTCATGGGGCCACGAAGCGCTGTACTGTGTGGGCGGGTGCATGCGAACGTCGTCACTTGGGCCTTCGATTGAGCTCCCCATGGAGCCACGAAGCGCTGTACTGAGCGGGGTGGACACATGCGAACGTCGCCACTGAGGCCTTCGGTGGAGCTTCCCATGGGGCCAAGAAGTACTTGGTGGGGCGGGCGCATGCGAACGTCGCCACTGGGGCCTTCGGTTGAGTTCCCGATGGGGCCACGAAACGTGTAATGGGCTGGGCGGACACATGCGAACATTGCTTTTGGGGGCTTCGGTGGGGCTCCGTATGGGCTTACGGAGCGCTACACTGGGTGGGGCGGACGCATGCGAACGTCGCCACTGGGGCCTTCGGTGGAGCTCCCCAGTGGGCCATGGAAAGCTGCACTGGGCGGGGCGGGCGTGTACGAACGTCTCCATTGAGGCCTTCGGTGGAGCTCCGTATGGAGCGACGAAGCGTTGTACTGGGCAAGGCGGACGCATGCGAAAGTCGCCACTGGGGCCTTCGGTTGGGCTCCCTTTTGGGGCCACGAAGCGCTCTATTGGATTGGGAAAACGGATGCGAACGTCGCCTCTGGGGCCTTCGGTTGAACTCCCTTTGGGCCCACGAAGCGCTGCACTGGGCTGGGCGGACGCATGCGAATGTCCCTAGTGGGGCCTTCGGTGGGGCTCCTTCTGGGGCCACGGAGCGCTATACTGGGTCTGGCGGACGCATGCGAACGTCGGGGGTGGGGGGAGAGGAAGGGAAGGAGGAGGAGAAGGATGAGGAGGACGCGGGGCACAGTCTTTTCAAAACGAGGACCCAACACCACAGGATGAATGGGAACAAACGTGCAAGATTTCAGGTCCACGCCGGCGTGCGAATGCGAAGATTGAAGTCGGGGGCGCGGGGGATGACGTCATTCTTGCTGCTGAAAACCCCAAGTGGGACTGTTGTGTTCGAAAGCGCAGGTAACTCCCCTTGCCGCACAGCCGTGCGTGTTCGTAGGCCGAGGCGTGTCGCTGCACATCTCCTTGCAATCCCAGAAGTTCTCATGGGCGCCAGTGATATAACGAGTTCTTCGATCCCCTTGCATTGTGCATTCTGCATTGTGAGAATGAAGAAATAAGAGGAACAATTCTGTACGTGCATTGCATATGATGCCCGGCGCCTTGGCATGCTATCTCTTGATTTCTGTTTTCGCCAACGCGCTTCGACGTATGGCTCAGCGTCCGATTCCCTCTTCCAAACTCCTTTCTCCTATATTCGGGGAGGCGGTTACCGCTCTCCCTGACCCCTCCCGTGGGTTTGGATGGAGGGGGGCGTAATGGGTCAGAGAGTCCAAGATGGCCAAAGATGGCTCCAAGCTTGTCCAGATGCGCCGAAAGACTGCTAGCCGAAGATAATTCAAGATAGCCTCCGACAGCCCCCAAAACGACTCCAAGTGCCCTCGGAGCCCTCCGAGGATCCCTCAAAAAGGCCCAAATCTTCAAAAAAACCTAGGGGGGATGTCAATGATGTTTGCCCTCCAGTTTTTTCGCCTCCGACGAGCTCCTGAGGCCTCAGGATATTCACACCATGGCCCAAGAGAGCCGCCAGAGAGGCTAAGGAGAGTCCCAAGATCGCTCCATTTGTGCCTCACGAAACAACTGTTCGGTACCCGAGGGGAGGTGTCAAAGTAAGGACCCACCTTTCGAGCCATGGGGCCCAAGCTCGCTCCAAGAAGCTCCAGCCCCCCCTGCACCCCTTCCCCCCCACTTCCCCTCCCCCATTCACGCCCCCCGTTCCAAGGCTATTGAAGGCCCAAGACGGTTCCAAGATGGCTCCTTATATCCCAAGATGGCCTTAAAATCGTCATCCTTCTCCTCCTCTCCCCTCCAGCCGACCGTTGAAACAAAGAACGATGCATAAAGAACGATCTCATTTTTCCAAGCCGAGCGGTGAAATCTGAGGGAAAGGCCGAGCCCCTTTTCCAGCAGCGTTCCACCCTTTGCCTTCGTGATTGGGGCCCCACCCCTTCTGCCAAAAACTAAGGAAGGCCCCCCACACACCCCACCGACCCCCACCCCCTCCCCGCTCCAGAAAATCAAACGCAGACGCGTCGCCCGCGAACAACACGGAAGGAAAGCCTGTTTTGCCCAGACAAGACGCCGTCCTTCAACACGCTCGCCTGGCTGCAGCCTCCTGCCCGACGGCTTAAATCAAGAAACGGCACAACAAGTTCGCGGTGCAAGGGGTCCTGCGCAAACTGACGACGTCCATCCCCCACCCGACATCCAAGTCAAACCTCTTGGCCTATGGAAAAGCCAGTAATCGAGCGAAGAGCTTGACCTTAACACGCGCACCGTTGACATCCCCAGAGCTTGTGACAACCATCCAAAATCCCACAAGCAACGGACGTGCGATGCCATACGGCATGACAACTCGTCTGAAAGCGGCGCAAGGAACCAAGACCCTCTTGGAACCCCGTTTCTCCGACCAGAGGATCTGATCGACAAAACAAGTCCGCGCGTGCTACGACGTGAGGAACACCGAAGTGGCCCACCACCAAAAAGGCAACGGAGCGCATGCGCACCTAAGGAGCCACCGAGCCCCTTTCCGACCTCGAACTGGTCCTCATTTCAACGAACAGCCTGTACCACAACCTCATCATTCTCGACCTCCTCCTACTGCTCCTCCTCTTCCTCTTTCTCCCTCCTCCTCATCCTCTGCCTCCTTGACGTGTTTCTCCTCCTGATCGACTTTCTCGTCCTCAGTGCCCTTCCATCCTTCAGCCGCCCTTCTCATCCAAGAAACTCGCATGTGCATCGTTTCTGCATCGGCTGATGTGGACACGAGAAGTGTCAACAACTGACAGTCCTGAATCTGAAGAGCTCCGTTACTTCCGAAGACAGACGGGAGGGGTCCAAAGAAACTCTCGCCCCAATTCCGCGAACATTCGTGCTAACAGCTTCCAGCTGTTACAAGGATGGAGGCTGGCTCGTTTTCAAAAGGAAGCTCTCACTTGCAGCGTGTGCGACCCGACGTCCCCACGTGTGGGAAGTGCACGGAGGGAGGGCGGCCGGTTTCTCACAGTGGGGCTCCCGCTGGCAGCATCCGCGGGCTCGCTGGGCAGCAGAGTGGAGACCGTGCAGCGCTGACACCCCCTCCTTTCCCTCCTCCTCCTCCTCCTCCTCCTCCTCCTCCTCCTGCGCCCTCCTCATCCTACTCATCCTCCTCCTCCTCCTCCTCCTCCGCCTCCTCCTCCTCCGCCTCCTCCTCCTCCTCCTCCTCCTCCTCCTCCTCCTCCTCCTCCTCCTCCTGGGAGGGGTCAGAGCGCTGTCACAACGCCGCCGGCGCTGCACACGGTCTTCGCTGCCCTGCCTCTCTGCGTGGCGCTCGAAGGACCCTGTGCAAGAAACGGGTCTGCGCCCGAGGGGCAGGCCCACCGGGCGGTCGTCACCCCAGTGCCCGCGCTCCACGCATACTCCAGATTTCGTAGTAAAGGGAGGGGGGGTCTCATTTCGGGGGGGGGGTCTCTTCCAGGCTATCTTGGAGGGCCTGGGGGGGTCTGGGGACTATGTTTTGGAGGGTTCTCCCACGGGGGAGGTCTGAAATGGCTTGTCTTGGAGGGTCCAGGCCCCCTCCCTTTTGTTACGAAATCTGAGTACACAC